GTTGTAGGGAACTTGCTTTGGCAGTGGGGTTGGACTAGATGATCTCCAGAGGTCCCTTCCAACCCCCACCATTCTGTGATTCTGTATTTTCCCCTCTTCATGAGGATAATCTGCAACCTAGTTCCAAAAAATTCTCTTTATGTTATTAAAAAATAATAACTTAATACATACCTAAACTCCTAACTTTAAAGACCCAATTCAGATGTATAGTTTTAAATCTAACTCTGCTTCAGTGAGAGAAAAGACCTTCTACATCCAAAATGCACCATAAAAACATTAAACAGGAAATAGAGGACATTCATGTTAACCTGTGGTACCAATATTCTGAAATTATTATTTAGTAGCAGTAGTACTGCAATACAGATTGTAGGGAGACCTGGATTCTGGCCCTTGCTTCAGGGAGTACTTATACCTTTTAAAACAAATATAGAAAGAAAAACTTGAAACTGCATAAGGTGCTACAACTCCGTTCAGTCATTCCTAACAACTCAGATTCATGCTTCCTTTGCAGCTGCTGTCTGCCTTGATTTTTTGTAAGCAGTTTTAACAGGGCAGTCGAAGAGGGTCTCCAGTTCAGAACTGGAACTGCTCGTTAACACTGAAAACTGATGAGTAAGACTAAGTAGATGCTTTCTTCCTAATGTCTTACATGACAGACTACAAGAGCCAAGAAAGATACTCACATTTGACAACAGTTGTCCACAATCATTCAAGAACTCAAAACCTGAGGTTCATCACCATCCTCTCAAGACAAACATTCGCACGGATTCAGTATTAAGATAAACCACTGTGAATATAAGGATTCACAATGGCACAAAAAGTAGCACAGTATGAGGTCAAATCTACAACTTTTTGGTTGGTAATTGCTCATTTTTATAGAGCAAAACACTCTGGTATTACAAATCCATTCCTCACTATGAACTCCATGCTCCAGTAAATAATTACCACAATACAGAAGCTATTCACTATGGTCTTTAATGGTTAGAAACTCACTGAAATTTTAGTTTTACATCTTGGTTAAGATTAGCACCAAGACTGTCTGCAACTCCCACTCTAACTATGGTGGAGTTATGTCAAGCAACATCATAACATGAGCTAACAGATTTTAATATATTTTCAGTTTAACTGAAAATTAAACTTAACTCATTTGCCATATAAATTGATTTATGGTTATGCCTACCATAAAAAAATTGGGGAATACATATATCTAACTTCCCAATCAGATAATTTTATGATTCTATGATAATGTCCCAGTCTCATACCCAGATTTTATTTCTAGACAAGCAAGTGTTCATATATACTTCTTACAGCTCAGTATTAAGCTAAAATATATTTCCTCTTCTCTTAATTGGGTTTTTAAATATATAAACATACATTCAGATGATAAAAATATATCAAGCATGACTGCTAAAAATATGGTATTTTCCCAAATTAAAGCCTGCACCATAAAGGCACTAGCAACAAGTTAATTATAGCATTTATTTTATATTTTTTATAATAACTGCCTGGAGTAAAAAGTTACATTTTATAAAAGAAAATATACTCTTACCATATTACTGTTTAATCAAAAAAGGAAGTGAACACCCTCTTGACTTTTGTCGGGTTTACAAGATTTCCAAAGTAAATCAATCACAATAGACGCATTCACTCCGTCACAAATCTCATTCAGGTCTAGTATTATTAGCTTTTCTACAAAGTAGACATAAAGAGCTACTATTATGACTCTTCAAAGAGCATTTTTGCTTCTTGACAGAACTCAAAGACCTTTCTAGTCTTCATCCATAAAAAACCCAGGTGTATGGTGTTTGGTTTTTTTTCTCTACAAAATATAGATCCTCTAATATGCCAGCCTGAATGGATCCAATTATTTACAACTTGCAACTTATTTACAAAATGATCCAAAAATACAAAATAAGATGTTTAGAATGTATTATTGTATTCTGAAAAATACCTTTCTTAAACTTACTACCTTCAATAGAGCAAGACAGAAAATTAAGACTTGCCCAAACAAAGTGGTACTTTGACACAGCTGCAGTACAAAGGTTAAAATTAACACAGAGATCAGAAGCTGGAATTGGTATCACCTGCAGGTCATCTACTTCATCTATTACTTCCTACTTGTCATCCTTCTGTCCAAATGTCCTAGAAAATATGACTTCCACTATAATGAAGTCATCCACTTTGACTTAGTTACAGACTCTTACACTATCCCTTAAAATAACTATCTCAGTCATGTAATCTCTGACACTAGTCTATAAAACTAAAAGACAGAATCACAGAATTCCCTAGATTGGAAAAGACCTTTAAGATCATCGAGTCCAATCATTCAGCTCACACTGACAAGTACCCAACTAAACCATGTCCCTAAGCACTATGTCTACATGACTCTTAAACACTTCCGCAGATGGGGACTCCACCACTGCCCCGGGCAAGTGGTCCCAGTGCCTGATAACCCTTCCAGTAAAGAAATTCTTCCTAATACCAATCTAAACTGCCCTTGGTGCAACTTGAGGCCATTTCCTCTCATCCTATCACTTGTTACTTGGGAGAAGAGACATCCAGGCTAGTTTTGCTTTCAGTCTCAGAGATGAACTGGATGCATAGGAAGGATTTTGATAGAAACAAGGTTTGCTACACCGATCTCAGAAGGGTGCCTAACTGTTCAACACCATATCTCTTCTCCTTTGGCATGAGATGAACACAATGTCTTTGAGAGCTTAACACTTTTTGGTTTTATTTCGTTTTGTTATTAAAATCCGAATACTTGCTGTGAGAGAGGAGGAAGCATAAATTTAATTAGCATGGAAAAATCTTAATAGCAAACCATACATACAGTGTGGTCAAACCAGCCAAACTGTCATAAGATGGAGTTAAAATGAAATGTTTAACTGATGTCCAGTATATGGCACAAATGATTCATGACCATACATGGTGCAACACAATTCCACAGTAACAAAAACCAGAAGACTTGGAGATCTGTGCAGTGGAAGCAGATATAAAGAGCTGATGTGCATTTGTATTAACTTCTGTGGTAACCAATCTGCTTCCTCTCTTTTAACTGCAGAGCAAGAAAAGAGAATGAAGATTTGCTTTCTGGTAAGAGTTTCAAAGTTTTGCAAGTTTCCACCATCTAAGCTCTATCATCTTCTGTCTTCATTGTTACAATGAGATTATATCTTTATTCAAAAGTTACAGAAGTTTAGATCACTGATGTGCCATGGCTGAATTCTTTCCTCTTGTTACTGTTAAGAGAACAAAGGGGAAAAACCTAACATCTGCACAGAGCTTTAAGCTCTCCTCTGACTGTTTTAGGTGCTTTTGACTGTTCTCTATACTGGCTTTGTCGTGCAGACTGCAGGAAAAGACCTAAGGTGAGTTATTATACATGTCACACCTCAGCAAAGGCACTCACTTTCCCCAGAAGCTGTGTGCTGCTACCAATGCACTGCAAGCCTGAGGGCCAGGAAATCAAACTAGATCAGAAATGGATCACCTTACTATTTAGTCACTCTTTGATACTTAAAGCAAAAATTTTACAATAAGTGAACTAAAACTGATAGTTTATTTTTCATTAATTTAATCAACACATAGTGTTAACTCTGGCAACTTTTAAGTGTAGAAAGTGGATCCCCTGGGGGACTGAAACTCTCACTCAAAGCACATTACTTAGAAAGCCATGATACAGTTATAGAATCTCTGTAGGGCAAAAAAACCCCAACACGATAGCAGAAGACAATTTCAGGTGGCAAAAACTGCAAAACAATGTTGTCTTAAATTATTTAGAGAACTTGTAACTTGCATGTCTATTTACCCAGAAACTATACAGAGGAGGAGGCAAGACTTTTACAGCAATACTGGCTTGCTCAGAAAGAAACCGTAACAGTAACTGTGTCAATGCAAATGGTACAAACGAACTTCTTGTCTTTCATGGCTGTTGAGCTATCGGTGACTGCTAAAACAAGAACATTTAACTAATGACTAGTACACAGAAGTTTACAATCTAATAACAGCCAGGATACTGATTGTATGCTCTTGGATACCATTAAAAATAAAATTCTGGAAGATGTAGTACCTTTTTACTACAATCAGAAACAGAAGGAGTAATCAAAAGCAAACGGACAAATAACATACACGACTGGCATTTTCCCTAGTAATTTTACCAGTATAAAACCCCTGCTTACGTTTGGGTTCATCACTTGTGACAGCCTGAATGAAGTCATACGGAGTCATATATAGCTGTCCTTCAAATTCTAGACTGGCAAATCTACGAAACCGTTGCTCCCGAGGAGTTGCATAAAGGTGTAAATCTTCAAGGTCTGATCTGTTTTCTGTAACCTTCAAAGACAGAAGGAAACAATTTTAATGTATGAAAAAAGTTTTGGTTTACAATTGCCACTGCCATTCACCATAAAGAAACTGTAAATGTAAAGGTGATAATTCTTAAAGTCAAATGCATCCAAATATTTTTGTATGGTAAGAGCTGAAACTACAATCAGGATTCCACTACCATCCTTTTCAGTATTCTGAATTTTAGCAATAAATCTTTATGCATTGAAATTGCTGACACTACCCAAGCTCAGGAAAAACAAAACAAAACACAACAAAACAAAACAACTTAGGCTCTTAAATCATAGAAAAAAGGGCACCTTTAACTCAAGGAAGTACTACATGGCATTAAGTTCACAACGCTTCAGAGTTTATAGATGCCAGAGCTTTCTGGTATATTAACTATCCAGCTGACTTACATTTAAACTTAGTAGCACACAACTGTTAAGTGTTCTAAATTATTACATCTTTGTGTTACACTATCAAAGCTTTTAACAGAAAATATGCTACTGCTAACTGAAAACTTTTTTTAGCCCATAATAAGTCAGGCTCCTCTGTGGAATCAGTATCTTGATGAAAATGTAAGTATCTTGAACTTCTTTTCAGAGATGAAAAAAACATACCCAAATTGTTTCATAAAAGGAAAAGCAATGCTATAACTAATTTCTCCAAGTATGTTAAAATAGGAATGCAGCATTTTATCAATGAAATATCCCAAGCTGTCATTGTCCTCACTACTCTTGTAATTTCATACAGTAGCCCTAGAACTCTTCAGGTGTCAAACTAAGGACAGGCAACAAGTAGCACATGGTTTAACTAATGTCTATGTTTTCTTTTAACAACTAAGAAAACAGCTAAATACATTTAGTTTTTCAGAGAGGCATCTAAACATAAAGAGAAGCTGGGAGATGTCTGCAGTTGTGGTCCGCTAAGAAATAACAGCGCTCAACTACAAATGGAAGTTGGTTTTCTAAAACCTTTCCAAGAATAGATTTCAGCAATTAGACACAAGGGCACATTTATATTGGGCAGTCAAAAACCTGGGCTCTCTTTCCTTCTGCTTTCCAAACAACGTCCTTAAAAAATAAATCATTAGTTTTGCTGCGAAACAAAATTTTATGGCCTCAGTTCTAACTAAGAGATTAAATTATCTTTGTAAAATAGACACATCAAAAATTAATGTGTCTAGAAGAGGTCAAACACTTCCTATTTAGAAAAAAAAACAAAATCACTTGTATTATCACAATGTAATAGAAGACTTGCAATTTTTTGATTTTATATATGGAAGTCTTAGTACTTCAATACTTTATCTAGGACAATTTAACCAGCTTTCTAGAAGGAAAAAAGACTACTGACTGCATAGTTCTCTTTCTGGACTGTCTCTAGTCTTTTTGAAATTATTGCTTCTATTGTGTGTGTGTGTGTGAAAACGTTTTGTTTAAATGGAAAACTGTCACAGGAAGTAAGAGTAACAGAAATGCTTATACAATAATTTAATTTTCAGTAGACTGCTCTACATAGAAATATTCTGCACTTTAAACCTGGTCTTTGTGTTTTTTATAATTTTCAAATGATTACCAAATTAAATATGGGGAGAAAAAATAAAATCTAACAGACAGACCTACAAACTCACCTGAGAATGACAGAAAAAAGCTGAATTGTCTTCTGACATGCCCAAATGCAAGCCAAAATATTTCTGTCTTATCTCACTGTTTGAGTATTATGGTCCTACTGATCCTTCAGCAGTCCAGTGGCATTCAAGCTATGCCTTCATGTGGGATTTACACAACGGAATTGTTTTGGTAGAGCTTGTAGAGACATAACTGATTATCCCTGTATTTGAAGTTTAATAATCTATCTTATTTTTGATACATATGTTATTTTATCACTATTACAAACATGCTGCAGAATACATGCAGGCTGTAAGCATGAGTAATAAAGCAATACCCCTGCAAAGTCGATTTTCAGAAAATAAACTGCTTCAAGGCCACATTATTCATGCAGTATGTATACCCAATTGTAATCAGTCATAATCAATCATACATAATCTGGACAATCTGTAGATAATGTGTCACTCAAGTAATATCATCTTAGTTTTGATCACTGTTAGTATGTGGAGAACATGTTGAGATTCTTTGCTCTCTCAAGAAATTCACACTATCTCGGGTACTACTGCTTAATGTTTTGCTTGAGACACTTAGAAAAGCATTTACCCTCAGACACATATTTCAACATTATCTTAAGTACCCTATGCTACTATAAGTATAAAATAACATACTGCAAACATGGTATTTTAAAAACACGCTTAAACTTAACTCATGCCAGTACTCAGGCCCGCAAAACCTTAATTTCTGCCTCTTTTTAGCCAAACTACAGTTTACTTTACTACATAGCAATGCCAATATTTCACCCCCCGGCTCAAAGTCATTGTAACTTGATATGAATACAGCCTGACACCAAAAAGAGAAGTACCTCCCTAAAGGCTCAGTGCCCTGCATGCCCTTGCTCTGGCACTTTATGTTCATTTTTCAAAGCATCAAACTTGATAAGGGAACTGGTTTGACTGAGAACTTTTTGTTTTGGTGGTGTTAATTTTTCAGCCCCACAAGAACAGTTATTTGTTTCAAGGCCTAGGCAACAGGAACTTGAAGGTTATGGAAAAGAAAATATCACCTGTTCCAGCACCAAGCTCCATCTACTTCAAGTGAAAGTGATGGGAAAACTGCAGGCCTAAGCATAATTTTATTCTAAGGAAAAAAAAAATACCACTATATTTTGAACTTTCAGGTTTTATCTGAAAAAATCAAAACAAGTTGTTTCTGCTACTGATCCAACAAGAATTCAAATGTATATAGGGCTTAACGTGTATTAGATCACTGGTTCATACATAATGTCCAAACAAAAGCAAGGCTTGGCTGCAGAAGACTCCAGGCTCACACCTTAGCAAACTGCCAAATAAAACCATCTTTAGAAATAATATTTTTGTTTTTCCAAATTTCTTGTTCAGAGTTTTCCTTCTACTACTGCTTATCAATTTACATAACATACATCAACTTTGAGTCTCTTGCATAAAAGCTTTAATTATTAGGCATTAATCAATATGCTAATTAAAAGCCAAGTCATTCTAAAGACCTCAATTTGTACCTCTTCATGCATTCATTTAAGAAGTTCATCTTATAACTTTGAAATGTCTCCTGCTTTCCCCAACATCATAATCTAGTGAGGCAAGTATTGAGAATCTTAATGACATCAACTGCTCTCGATTGATTTATTTCATATTTATGCCCAGGTTAGTCAATCTTACTGTAGCAGCATTAGTATCAAATCCAAGGGACACATGAACAAGACGCAGAAAGTAGATGCTGAATACCTCAGGAAAGGTACTGTTGGTAAAGGAGTGAACAGGATTCAGTGAGATTCTAATTTCTATTTGAAGTTTCAAGATCTTATCCAGATTAAATCTCTCTGTAATTATCAACAATCTTCAAAAACTTTCATGAAAGTACATCTCTGACAAACAAAAGAGGGGAGATCTTTTTATGCTTCTGTTTACTAATCCTCTTGGCAATCCTGACTAATTATTACTATGATCTTGTATCATGTTATGGTTCTCTGCCTTTTAAAAACTGGACATGGCCATTTCCTTCAAGCAGAATGTCACAAATCTCCCAACAGCAGTATTATCTTAATTTTAGCTATAGCAAGTTAGCTTTGGTTTACCTGCACATGTACACCAACGTACTTTGTTATTAGAACTTTTAGGGGGAAAAAAAAAGCCCCACAGCTGAAACCAAGAATCTAGCTGGCAGACAGAATTTCCATCCTTCCAACTTCACAACTCATGAAATAAATAAAAAGAGGCAAGGCTGCAGCTCATCAGCATTCACTAACAATATATTATCTTATCCCTATTCTCAAAAACCCTAAGTGTTAATAGTTGTAATCCAACAGCTCATGGTTATCATACTCCTGCTCTTCCTCTCTCAAACTCTGGTACCCTGTTGCTCCATATTTCACATTCCGTTCCCTGTCCTCCTGCGCCATATCCTTGCAGAAGCACTGCAGAGGGAGCACAGCATGTTTTTGGGGTGCTGCGATGCATGGTCTTGGCTTCCATCTGCCTTCTGCAAAACCAAGAACAGAGACTGTGTGGCTCTTCTAAACTCAGTTTAAATCAGGTAAGAAAAAATGATCTTGGCCTGTTTTATTGCCGTTCCCTAACAGAGAAATGTATATACACATATCTAATTCTCACACAGAGGAGACATTTCAAAGTGCTTTCTAAAACTGATTAAATGGATTCAGCACTTGAATGGAAACCATCACCAGGTAAAGGAAACAGATGGAAACATTTCCCATAAGAAAGTCCATTTTAACATCAGCTTATCAAAACATAAGTAAAAATTAAATTGAAGACCAACCTGAAATTTGGCAGGGTACTTCTCTGAATGGAGAGCATCATATCCCAGTTATGTGTGCTTCTATTGTAATTCTATGCTACAAACATATTACAAACAGCCTAAAATATCTGGAAAAGGCCTCTGAAGTTTCACACTTATTACGCAAATGAAAATATGATGATAATGCTCTCTCTTTAACATATTTCAAGGACTTAATATAAATCCTTAAAAACTATTTTCTAGAAGTACTGCATTTAGAAAGGGCCATCTAAAGCTACAATTAACACCACCACGTGTCTCACAGAGTAGTAGTCCTCTAGATGAAGGTCTTTGTTATGGACACTCAACATTTTTAAGTCAATCAACTTTGAATCAACCTGCTTGGTCAGCAGGTTGAGGGAGGTGACTCTGCCCCTCTACTCCACTCTCATGAGACCCCACCTGGAGTACTACGTCCAGTTCTGGGGTCCTCAACATAAGAAGGACATGGACTTAATGAAGTTAGTTTGGAGGAGGACCACAAGGATGATCAGAGGGCTGGAGCACCTCTCCTACGAGGACAGGTTGAGAGAGTTGGGGTCGTTCAGACTGGAGAAGAGAAGG